AGCTCATGGCTTTTTGTCTTTAATGGTGGGCTAATGCTAGTTATCTAATTTAGGCCCGTCTATCAATGGATCTGTGGCACCGTCTTTGCAATACTTGAGTACCAAGGATGGATCTTCTTTCTTCTCACGTTGTTGTTCGTTGGAGGTTTTTGACTTGGTGTGTGTTTCTAAGTATTTTGAGATGAGGTTATGGGTCCGGCAGATGGATGCGGGTAATGGGTAGGCTAGAAGTTAGAAGCGAGGTATGCTATAGCCAGTGGGTGTCGTAATCCGACAGAGGTTTAGTGTGCGAGATACCCTTGCTAGCTTGGAGTATCTGTGTGATTGCTAGTGATTTTTTGCTTGTAGTGGAGCTTTCACGTGATTGGCGATTATAAGAAGATGGCAGCAATAGTGATGATAATGTATGTTTAGCTGGCTTTCGGTTATGGTAGGCGATATTAGGTGGAATGTAAATGATATGTTTGCGTATATTAGTTTTTGTGGATCTATTTTGTTTCTTCTCACTCTATACTGCGGGGTGAGGAACCATTGGGGTGGGGGTCTGGCGCCAGTGCAGAGGTTAAGGTTTGAGGCATGGGGCATATTGTGGGAGGTAGGGTGTGGGATGGTGGGGGGAGGAGGAGGGGGAGTGGGGGGCAGTCTGTGTGGTTGGGGGTAAGGGGAGGGCGGGCGGGACTATTAGAGATTGGGAGGGGGGAAGTTGATATGGGACTCTCTTAGATTGCTGGTGATATCACGGTGCAGATGATAATTTGATATAAGGTTGATGCGTTGATGAGTTGACTTTTGTTGTTAATGATGTCCTTTATCTTCAGGAGGACAGGTGTGGATGATTTGTAAAGTGGCTTAAGGGAGGATCAATATTTAGGTAGGTGTCATCGGTAACAGAATTCTTTTGTCACTGGTTGAACTAAGGGTGATCCGTTGAAAGTGAGTTTTATGGGGTTAATATTTGAAAGATTCTAGTATCGTAAATCAAGACGATGTTGTTAATAGTGGATAAGTCGGTGTCTCTTAAACGTGAATGGTGGACCGGCTTTAGTCCTTAAATGAACGATTTCCTTTCGCTTTAGCGACAGCCAGGTTGTTGAGTGGTGAATAGGATGATTTTGACTTGTTGTGGCAGGGTTATTAATCTGACGAAATTGTTACTTTTACGAGACAGCAATGTTGTTTAGTGGTGAACTACGGGATGTTTTGAAACTCTGAAGAATGGAGGCTTACTTGTTACTTTGAAAGAATTCTGTACTGTGGAGTCTGGACATGTTGCTGTAGTGTGACGCCCCTGGGATGAGGTTTGTTATTTGCTAACTCGGACAAGTCTCTGGGGGTTTTTTTTTTGACGGGTTGTCACTTTTCTTATCACAGAAATTACAATACATGGAAGGCTTCATAGTTTCTTTGCCGGCACTTTGTCCCGTGTGGAGGAGTCAGGCTGGTTTGTGTAGTGGTTGCAAATTGAGGTATGTTTTGACATCGAGTCATGGAAGGCTGTTTTTGATTTGAAGGATTAAGTACATTTTCCGTGATATGGTTGGTAGTGTGTGGATGGATGATTCTTGCAGTTATGAAACATTGCAGGGTTCATTTATTGAGAAAGAATTAGTAACCATTATACGTGTTGTGGTAGAGTGGTGAATGATGATTTGAAATGCTGTAGTGGGAGGCTTACTTGTGTGGTTCAGCTTTCTGTCAACATCTATACGCGCAGCAATGTTGTTCCTGGGATTGTTGCATATCGGATTGATATCTTTGAAACAACTGTTGGAAATGTCTGAGCAAGAAATTTTAGTGATTCAAGAGAATTAATCGGTAAACCGAATAAATAAAGAAACCCAATAGTTATGTGGCGTGACTATGAATAATAGCGGAATGATATTAATATGGAACAAATGTGACCACATTGAGCAGTAAAGAGACTATTATAAAAATAGTAATTGAAATAAGGAGCTTCATAGTCCATGAAAGATATAAAATAAAACCAAAAGAGATGAGCTGTGGAAGCGTTGATTGTTTGTTCCTGATATCATTGGAACAAACCTTATCAAATTGTAAAATGCGGTTGTGTGAGAGACTTCTAGGATGCGAATAGGAATATCAAATTGTCGATATAAGACATTTCAACACTTGGTATCATCAAACGGTAGAATATCTAGTTAAAGTATTTTGTCTAACGCAGTTGCGTCAGGATATTGAAATACATAGCAGAAGTAATGTCCCTGATTGTTAATAGGATCAGCGTCATAAATTAATGATATATAAATGGCCAAGAATAGCAGTAAACAGATGGTATTAAGAGATTGAAATTTTTTATCTTTAAGAATGTGCACAAGTAGAGATTTAGGCATATGAATTATTAATATTAAAGGAATTACAGTATAGTGTATTGTTACATTGAAGGTGCAAATGAAAGAAGTTCAAAAATTTTGTATCACGAATCATGTGAAGAAATGTAAGAATTCAATAGATCAATTTATGGGTATGATAAGGTGATAGGAAGATATTGAAGACTGATTTATTGACTACTGTTATGAGGTACATTGGGGTTCTGAAATGTTGCATGTGAGCGGTTAAATTACTGAATTGTGTGAAAATTGAAGATAAAGGAGATAAATTATTATCTAATTGAGATTGGGTTGTTATAGGCGGAATGTGAGTATTAAATATTTCCATGTGTAAGAGATAAGCATAACATTGAAGAATTGTGGTTGTTGGTGGTTTTTTGTGGACTTTTGGCGTATTCATGAATTGGGCGTAGTTGGTTTCTTTGTTCGGTGGGGGGCTGTGGCCTTATTTGGGTGTGTTTGGGTCCTTGAGGTTTTGGTTTGATGCTGCTGGTGGGATGGTTTTTAGATGTGTATATGTGTTCGGTTCATGGGGTGATTGCTTTTGGTTTTGTTGGATGGGTGGGATGAGTTTGAGGTGGTCTTTCCAATGTTCTGTGGTGGCTTGGTTTTTTGGGTCCGGTTGGTTTGACTTGGTTAGGTATGTGCGTTTGCGGTGACTACCCTGTTGTTTGATTGGGGATTTTGGGCTGGTTAGCTATGTCTGTGTGTACGTCCGTGTCGGTGTTTGTTCGGATAGTTGGGTGTGGATTATGTTGCTTCATGTGAAGCGTTTGGGGTTCTTGGCATGGTCTGCGCGTTGGTTGGTTTGTTTGGCGAGAGTTGACGGTATGAGTCTGTGTTTGGGGGTATTTCCGTTGCTTCGTCGCCTGTTTGTTGAGTAGTCGACTTAATTGCATCGATGGTGTCGAGGTGTGGTCGATGATTGGTCTCTTTTATTAGTTGACGTTGATGCGGTAGGGTTCGTTGGGTCTTTTTTTGTGTTTCGTGTTCTGGATAGTCGCAGGTTGTTTTGTGGTATTTTGTGTGGTTGGTGGGGGGGTGATGGGGGATTTTCGGATTTATTCGTTGGCTCTGTTTGTTGGTCTGGAGTTGTTTTTCCGGGAGGCTTGAGGGGTTGTTGATTGTTCGTGCGTATATTTTGATCTTCTTTTGGGTCCCTGTCGGTCGTTGCTGAAGTGGTTGCTTTGATTGGCTTTTGTTATGGGTCGGCGTTGGTGATTCTGTTTCGGAAGGGTTGGGGTGTTCTGGTTCGTCGGGGTGGTTTGGGATCGTGCATGTT